AGAAGTGAAAATCATAATCTCATTTGAAAAATGTAATAAGAGTAGACAGTAAGTCTCACTGAAACAGTATGAAACTACTATTTAATGTTAAAACTGTGTAATAGAATCAGTCAAATTGATAATAAATCTATCAAAAAATCTGATTCTGATCTCAGACACAGTCACACAGTCAGTCTAGACCCTGGTGGCTGAATGATTAATGCGGCCACTCAGTAGCACCTTGGCGTGGGAAATCAAGACACGTGGGTTCGAAACCCGCAGGGAATACATTAAATCCGGAACTCAAGCACCTCAGGTTTCTAATAAATATAGAGGTGTACAAATCACTTCAATGAATTACTTTATATTCCTGAGCTGAGAAGTTATTATTGCATGTATCTAATTGTCACTTCTTTGTATTTTTCTATGTTCTTATTATCTTAGTGTGATCTCAACATCTGTATTTCCTCCTGTATAATCAACACTTGACCTGTATTTAACATCATGCAAGAACTCATCATAAGCTCCGCTTGCATATGAGTATAATGAAAGAATAAGAATAATAATAATAATAATAATAATAACAGTCAGTCTAGCTGTTACTAGACTGACTGTTGAAATCATGAATTTCATATTTAATCTTATTTAATCTGATCTTATACATTTCTTAATATGAATCTCACTGAGACTAGTTATTAAAAAAACATGTAAAGTGACTATATATCAGATCTTAAAATGAAATCATGACTTGAAAAAAATAAGAAAGTAATCTTATTTGATTTCATTTAGTCTCATTCTTGATAAAAAGTTACTATTTTTAGACATTTTAAGGTTTTTTTTAGACTATTTTTAATTTTTTAAAAAGTAACACTTTTTGATAACACTTAAATGAGATTTAAAGTCATTTAAAGCAATAAAAATAATTTAAATTGAGAAGTGAAAATCATAATCTCATTTGAAAAATGTGATAAGAGTAGACAGTAAGTCTCACTGAGATAGTATGAAACTACTATTTAATGTTAAAACTATGTAATAAGATTAGTTGAATTGATTATAAGACTATCAAAAAATCTGATTCTAGTCTCAGACACAGTCACACGGTCAGTCTAGCTGTTACAGAAGCTGTTAATTTATTAGTTATTTTTAATATAATATTAATCTTCTACAGTACTATTAATATAAGATTCTTGTAAGATATAGTATGAGCACTGAATTCAGAGTTTAGAACTCAGATATCTTTATCAGTTTAATCAGTAGAATAGACTCTCTCTATTGTATAAAACACTTACTTAATAATATTATAAACTGATACTGAGTCTGTTTCATTCTTATTCTTATTCTTATCATAGCTAGTAGAGTGTTTTTCAGAAAATTTTAATCAGTAATTTATTTAAATGTAATCAATCTTTTAATAATGATAATATATTTTAATAGTATTATTATTCTTTCTATCTGACTTGATGAAATATTTATTCTTATTCTCAGAGATCTTCTTCTTCTTCTTATCTTTCTTATTCTTATCTTATATGTTGTTGATAGAATTTTTGAATATATCAGTATTTACTTTATTTACAGCAGAGAGCTGCAGAAGAATATTATAATATAAACTTATAAAATCATTCTCTAAGAATTAAGTATTATCTTTATCAATTTAATTTATTTAATTTCTTATAAATAAGACTCAATCTCTATTGACTTCTGTAAGTAGTCTGTTGAAAAACATGATATTTAGAATATTATATTCTAGACAGATATAATCAGTTCTTATAATAATCAGATATTTAATAAATGTATAATCTAAGTTTTTTAACTTAGTAGTCATGCTAATCAGCTTCTTAAATAGACAGATTCTGTGAATAGTAAATCTTTTAAAAAAGTTATTCTCTATAATAGTTTATAGAGTATAAGTAGATAACTTAAATTTCTTAAGTATAGTAAAATAAGTCTTGATCTATGAGATAATTACAGATTATATATAATTATATAATTAAAGATTGTGTTCTTTTTAGAAATATTATATATTTATAGTGATATTCTTATCAAGATTATTATCTTTAAGAATATTATTAGTTTCAGACTATTCTACAGTTAAAAGAATTTTCACTTTTTATATTAAGTAATTAATAAATTTAGTGAGAACTATTAATCTTTTAATAAGTCTTACTTAACTTTTAAATTCTTTAAGAACTTTTATTATAATGAATATCTTTTCTTTTCACTGAAGATATTCTATTAGATTTATTTTTATCTTATTATCTACAGAGTTATCTCTACTAATCTTTATTTACTCAAGCTTATACTGAAGTCTTGTAATTTCTAGTCTTATGTAAGTCTTCTTACTTACAGAGCTATTATTATTTTAATTACTTAAACTCTTTGTATTATCTAATATCTTACTGATATCTTTAACTAAGTCTTTATATTTATTAAACTCATCAGACTATTTCTCTATAATAATTTTATTCAGCTTAAATACTCTGAGAGCTATCTTTTAATTTATTATTAATATTAATAGTGATCTGTGATCTTGCATTTACTACTCTAATATTTTCTCATTTCTCTATCTTGAAGATATATATTCTTTTATTAAGTCAGATATTTCTCTGAATCTTAGATTAATTATGAGTTTAATCAATTATAAAAAATATATAGATATATGTAATAATTAGACTGACTGTGTAACTATATCTGAGATTAGAACTAGATTTTTTAATAGTCTTATTATCAATTTGACTGATCTCATTACACAGTTTTAACATTAGATAGTAGTCTTATACTGTCTCAGTGAAACTTACTGTCTACTCTTATTACATTTTTCAAATAAGATCATGATTTTCACTTCTCAATTTAAATTATTTTTATTGCTTTAAATGACTTTAAATCTTATTTGAGTATTATCAAAAAGTGTTACTTTTTAAAAAATTAAAAATAGTCTAAAAAAAATCTTAAAATGTCTAAAAATAGTAACTTTATGCTAAGAATGAAACTAAATGAGATCAAATAGAATCACTTTCTCATTTTTTTCAAGTCATGATTTCATTTTAAAGATCTGATATATAGTCACTTTACATGTTTTTTTGATAGCCAGTCCCAGCGGGATTCACGCCAAGAAATGTATGAGACCAGATCAAATGAAATCAAATGTGAAATTCATGGTCTCAGCGGCCAGTCTAGTAACAATACATGAAGATGTAGTTAGTATATTATTACAGTTATTTATTGCTTACAAAGAGCTTTATAATCTCTTGAAGAATAATGTTATTATGTTGTAATCTAACTACGCGAGTTACACTAAATAGGTTGGGGTGGCACGTGACTAGGGTAGGTGTAGTAATCAGCTTCCTGGCGTTGGGTGTAAGCGGGCGTTGGGTGGTTGATTACGTTATGTGGAAAATGGTTGTTAAAGAGATTTGAGGGGTCGATATTGAAATAAAAGCGGCGTAGGTTTCGCGTCACGTGGCCAGGAATGGGCTTAAAACAGCGACGAAAATGGGATGCTCTGAGTCGCCGCACCCCCATCTTACAGACTATAGAGGTATTAAATAGTTCTGGAGATCATTCCATTGTTGGCGCCCGATTTCTGCATGTGTGTTTCGCATATTTATATAAGAAGCCTTCTCGATGTTTGGCATGTCCTGAGCCCGTCGATCACTCTGGGCCACTCATTCTGGGGCCAGGGAGGCCGCACTAAACACCTCCCTGCAGGCGAGGCCCATCCCATCGCACTAGTGCGGGTTGACGCGCAGGGCTTGACAAGTCATTTGTTTCCTATTGGACACAGCGAGACGCCCAGGCCCTATCTGATCCCCAACGTCCCAGTGGTGGCGGGAGGAGGTCGAAAAGGGGAACCTGGCTTGCTCCACAAGGATTCCAAGCAGGGTTCATGGAGCCCCTTGTCCCTGAGAAGAAATGTGTTTGCTTTCAGGAGCCTCTTGTGATCTCTATCGATTATTTGTTATTTATTTTGGGTTAATAGCGTTAAAGGTTTGGGCGGGCGGACGGCAATCCTGATCAAAATTGAGGCCAATCGTTGGTTGAAGATCACTGCCGACCTGCGTTGCGCTGTTTGAAATCAGGTGCCATGAGACAGACAGACGCAAGGCCAGAAATAACTGGGGCGGAGGGGGTCAGGACCGGGGCTAATGCCAGCAAGCGCCTGTAAGAAAAGCCATGAAGGAACGTGTGATTTGATTCCAGTGCTACTACTCCGTACTTGAGGGTGAAACACGGCCGGGAGTAGGCTTCAAAGACGCTGGCAGCCAATATCGCGCGGTGACTGCTGGTGTCTGCTACAAGGGAGAGTAACAAGAATAACAACAAATATCTGGCTGTGGTGATAGTCTTTGGTGCTGACCACTGTCACCAATGGGCGCTAATTCACTTATTCATATATAACAGTGGTTATCAACTTCCCATCAATAGATGTAAGTATATTATATATGCTGTATATATATGATGTTGTCACCATCATCACCTGACTTTCTCGACAGGTAGTCCAGAATCAATCCATCCATCATCCAGGCTCCTTTTACTTCTTATTTTGACAACAAACAACAAACTTTCCTTCGTTGTCTCAGAACTGCGGGCCATTGATGAATATCTAACTGCTTTGTTTCCCCCCGCCTCTGTCCCTCTCTCTGTCTGTGTCTCTCTGTGTCTCTCTGTGTGTCTCTCTCTGTGCCTCTCTCTGTCTCGCGCTCGCTCTCCTGCTTTCTTTCTCTCTCTTCCTAAACATATCTATCTCTATACCACTAGCCTCTCATTTCATTGTAGTTTTTATCTCACCAGCCCCTGCGCCCAGGGCCCCCTTTGGGCGTCTGAAACAACAAAGCCTTTGACACGCCAACAAATCGATCCTTGATCTCGTTTGACATAAACTAGACTCCGGACCGCCTCCGCGCATTGCCCATCCTTTTTTATCTTTTATTTACTACTCCTGCCTCCACAGGCCAGAAGTTGGAAGAGCGGCCTCCCCTCCGCCTTCTCTTATCCATCCTACAGCCGCAAATTGCACTTTCAAGATGAATGTAAACAAGAAAATCGGTCGCTTCAAGCAGTGGGCGGGGGAGCGCATGGGATCGGAAGCGAAAACTAAAGTCTCAGATGACTTCAAGGCGCTGGAGATGGAGATGAACTTGAGACATGAAGGTGAGATACGGAAGATAGGAGGACAATTTTCCATGCCAAGTCTAGCATTGTATTGTATATAGCTGACAATTATGGTTGTCCTTGTTTTGACAGGAATGGAGCGACTCCAGAAATCAATGACATCCTATGTGAAAGCGTTGTCCAAGCGCAATGAAGGAGATGATAAGGAGAAGACTCTACCAGTTGGATATTTGGGTACAACTATGGTGAACCATGGAGAAGACTTTGAAAGCACCTCAGAATTTGGACAGTGCCTTATCAGTTCGTGAAATGCCCCTCTTTCTGGTTGAAGTGAGGTTGCTGATTCCCTTGTTCTAGATTTTGGACGGACAAACGAACGTATCGCGAGGATCCAGGAGACTTACATCGCGAATGCGACTACCAGCTGGCTGGAGTCGCTCGACCGGTCACTTGTCCAGATGAAGGAATATCAGGTATGAAGATCATTTTACGAAAATGAATTTGCGGTGTACCGAGAAAAGAAGTTGTCTGACAAATATACTCCTTAGAATGCGAGAAAGAAGCTGGAGGCCCGCCGGATCGCATATGATGCTTCCCTTACCAAGATGCAAAAGGCGAAACGAGAGGACTTTAGGGTGGAAGAAGAGCTGCGGAGTCAAAAAGCAAAATATGAAGAGTCCACCGAAGACGTCTACAGGCGGATGGAAGATCTTAAAGAAGCTGAAGCTGATAGCATTGCTGATTTGGGAGCATTCTTGGACGCTGAACTCAACTATTACGATCAATGCCGAGAGGTTCTTCTGCAACTCAAGGATAACTGGCCAGCTGGGTAAGTTTTGTCTGAAATGTCAAATGATAGGAGTAAACAATTGCCCTTCTGTAACACAGCATCATCAAAGCTAACCTAATCGATACAGCCAAACACAATCGCAAGGCGGTTCATCCAGACGACCTGGACGAAATTGGTCAAATACAGCACATTCATACCACGATCGGTACGAAGCCGTGCAAGAAGAGCCTCCTACTCCAACTTCAGAGCATCGGCTAGCCATAAAATCCAACCGAGCCGTTTCCATGTATAAGAATGGATCTCCACCCAGGGCTTATTCCCCCGATTCGCCCTACCAGCACCGACCAAACATAGCCCGCACCTCAACATTCGAAGGGCCCTCCCAGCTGAGGCGCGATGAGTCGCCCGCCGTACCACACCGCATGAGTCGCATAGCAAGCGACAGTGCAGCCTTACGCAATAATAATAGTAGCGGTAGTAATCACCATGGCCAACTGCACCTCCGAACCGCAAACAGACCTTACGACCACTACCTGGAGTCCCCAGACGATGCATCCTACGGCAAAGGCGGCGGCGGCAGCAGTCCTGATCGGTACTTCACTGGAGGCCGTTCCGTATCGCCCGCGACGTCAAATGGCAGCGTCATATCCCGAGCTGCGAGTGTGACGGGCTTTCATCAAGCTGGGGGGAGTACGATTGGCAAAAAGGGCCCTCCCCCGCCTCCGCCGTCGCGGGCTAAGAAGCCACCTCCTCCTCCACCGCCGGCGGGAAAGAGACCCATTGGTGCTGCTGCTCATATGTGATTGAATATCTTTGTACTTTCAATACGCAAAACTTGGCAAAGAGATTCCCCTCCACCCCTCCACCCCTTTTCTTTTTTCGGTCCCATGTTACAGGCGCTGGATAAGGAATTATGTTGATGACGATCGAATGGCCTCCCGCCCCTTGGATTTCTTGAGCTGGTCTTATATTTTTGGGCAAAAGGGACCTTTTCTATAATTCTTTTGTTCTTCTAGCCGTCCAGGAGTTGCGTCTCTTTTCTTTCCCACTTCCCCTTTTTTTTCCTTTTCCTTGTATTTTTTTTTAACTCTCCAATTGTGTTTGTCTTCGGTGCTCCTAATAATGTCAGTGTATTAATTAACCACCCCGGGGGTACTTAACGGTACAAGTCTACCAAGAAATATTAAAAGATCCTCCCCAGATAATCTGTCTAGCACGGATAATATTCTTATATATGAGAGACTACTGCTCTTCCTTTCGCCCCTCCCCTCTTTCCCCCCCTATTTTTTCTCCTTGGACAACGATAGACGACGAGAATGGCAAAATTTTTGTTTGGAAATAAAGAAAGGGTGATTACAAAATATCCAAGCACCATTTTTATTTCATGTGCGAGAGATTCGGTTTCGGTTCTTTTTTTGGGGGCCGCTCCTACCCAGGGGCTTCAACCCCACAAACTCAACCGGCTGATGTACACACAACATTGATCCCTACCCAGGTCAGCACTCGCAACAGATCGTGCGCGATGGCCCGGGGGAGGAGATCGTGCAAATTTAGATTCTAAAGGCGACAACAAATATAGCCGTGTTCATCACGCTGATTGGCATTGTTTGTCTCTGAGGGTCTGAGGGAGGAACCACCCCCCCCCCCCCCCCCCTAAAACGGCACCCCTGGAGAGCATGACGGGGAAGATTCGCTAGAGATGAGATGGGTGACGGCTAAGTTGAGGTGGACTTGGTGTCTAGCCTCTATCTTTGGACAAGTAGAGCCTAGACCTTGTTATATTTTGTTTGTGTCGTACTGTACCAATGTGGGCAAAATCATGGGTCCGTCTGGAAAAGCGGGTCTTGTCGGTGCGAGTCGTTGTGGGTTGGATGATAACCGTGCCATGCTTACTCACTCTCTCTAGTGAGTGCACCACAGCATACAGAAAACCACACTGTATAGAAAATATTTTCAATATCTTCATTCTTCATCTTCAAATAATCATTATTAATTATAATCATGTCTAAATCTTCTAATTATACTGAGAAGCAGTTGCAAAGAGCTGTTAACACATATAAAAATAATTCAAAATTAAAAATCACATCTCTGTTATAAGAATTCAAAGTCTCATATACTATCTTATATGAGAGAATTAACAGGAAGAAATCAAGAATTATGAGAATTTCACTGAATTAAGCATTGAATGACAGTCAGAAAGAGATAATTAAGATATGAATTCATCAGTTAAATATTATTAATGAGACTGTCTGCTACAGATATAAGTAGTATTATAATAGATAATTTCTTGCTAATCTGAAGAGTGTCTGACTGCAAGCATTTAAATCTAGTACTATAAGAGCTGGCTTTACTGACTGCAGAATGTATTCAGTTAATCACAATATAATTCTTAATTAATTAAGATCTCTTATCATTGATAATGCCTCAGATCTCAACATATATAATGATAATAATAATATATACAATTACTTTACTTCATTATCTGCAGATTAACTATTAACTGTCTTCTCTTATAATTAATCTTCTCAGAGATGATTGCAAAACTATTAATACAGCAGTCAAGACCTTAAAAGATGTGAAGAATACTCTTATATCTAGTTTAATAAGATGATTGAACAAGATCTTCAAGAATAGCATGATTCAGATGAAATTAAATATACATTATAAAAATGAACTTACAGATTATTATTAAGTAAGTAGATATTAGATTATTAAATTCTTTCATAGATAAATATAAGTAGATGAAGTTCTTACTATTAAGAATGTTAATCACAAGATCATAATCTGTAGAGTAGATGCAATGAAAAAGATATTCAATAAAAATCTTCAGTTAATTGAAATTAAATCTATAAAATCTACAGTTATTTAATTATAATAAGATAATTCTATAGAATCTCAATCTACAGTGAATTCTACATCTTCTAATGAGTATATTGATAATCTTTATATTATAGATAGATATAATGATGATTATTAATTAATTTTTGAAGATCACTATATTGAAAATATTTTCTGTACAGTGTGATTTTCTGTACACTGTGGCACACTCACTAGAGAGAGTGAGTAAGCATGGCACGGTTAGTATGTAGGAGACAGTCTTGTTTTCCAATTGTGAAGAATGTATTAAAATGAGAAAAAAAAATAGAAAAAAAAAAAAAAAAAAAAAAAGAATAGAAGCAACGCTGCTGACTCAGCAGCGCCACCTGATGACTCAGCGCTCACGTGCCCCCGCCCGTCCTCAGCCTCTCGCTCTCCGTCTCCGTTTTTCTCAGTTCCTCCCAAGGACGAAACGACCTCCAAGCACCCGCGACGACTACCTCGCATCCCCATCCCCATCGCCATCGCCATCGCCATCCCGTCCAACGCGCCCACCACAACGCGCCTGTGCTTCTTCGCCCGCCCTTGCGATTCCCCTCTCCCCCAGAGAGCCCGTTGTCTGCCGCCTTCCAGCTCCCCTTGGCCGTTCTGGTCTATTTCTTTTTTTGTCGCCTTTTTTGCCTCTTGCCAGACAGCCAGCCCAGGCTCTCCTTCCATCCCCAACGCATCCAGATCCCATCTGCCAAGCATCAACAGGGCTCCCCCATTCGTCCCGCTCCGCTCCCTAGCCCCTGCTTCTTCCTCCACAGGGCTCGACGCCCGCTTTCTGTCTGTCGCTACAACTCCGCGACGCTCGGTTTCCCACTTTTCCAGCCCTTCTTTCCACGCCCGAGGCACTGTTAGGAGGAGACTGGGCCCTGTTCATGTCCTCCTCTCTATCCCCCCCCGAACACGATGACTTCAATTCAAGGTGTCCCCAATATGGCCACTGCTAATCTTAGCTTGCCGCCCAACTTAACACAGCAACATGTGCAAGAGGTGTATCAGGTTCGTTGTCGCTACCCTACTACTCTGCCGTCCATTTTGTTTGGGTTATTATTTATGTATACCTGTCGCGATAAAAGTTTTTATTATTTGCCATATACATACATATATATCTTATGCGCCTAAACTAATATATCTGTGAAGAAATTTCGTAAGATGCAAGAGCAAGGTGTGCGACCTGACGATCCAGAATATGTAAAAGCCCACGGACTCCTCTCTGCCGTCCAAAGACAGCAAGCCTTCCAAAAGCAACGCCAATTAGCGCAACAACAGCAGCAGCTTCAGAACCAACGGCTACAACTCGCGCAACAGCAACAGCAACAGCAACAACATCAACATCAACATCAACAGCAGCAACAGCAACAGCAACAACAACAGCAACAGCAACAACAACAGCAACAGTCGCAATCGCAGTCGCAGCAACCTAATGGCATTCCCAATGATAACTTGGCCAACGGTGTAGATGGTATGAATTTTAGTTGGCTCGTCGTATTTTTCACTCTCAAAAACGTGTGACTTTTTACTGACTATTCTGTTTTGCGTTTGATCAGGTCGAAATGGATCAGTGGCCCCGATGTCGAGTGGTGCCAGCCTGGATCCCACGGCTGCCGTTGCTGCTGGGCAACAGTCGAACTCAGTAGCTCAGCAACAAGGCAACACTGCGCCTTCGAAGCCTGCGTCTTCGACTGGAGGCACGTTCTCGCCAGAACAACTGACTACATTGAGAAATCAGATTCTTGCGTTTAAAATGCTTTCCAAGAACCTCGCCATACCACCACGCGTCCAACAGCAGCTTTTCGCGAAAAAAGTACATACGGTAACTACTGATGGCGTTGCGCTTCCAGATAACGTTGACAATGTCGCACAAGCCCGAGGAAGCCAGCCTGTTGAACCCAACGAAAATGCGAATAAATCGAAGACGATCTACGAGACGTTTGAGTCGCCATACAAGGCCCTTGCTGAAACGATCAACTACGCCGATCATTCTTTCCGGAGGAATAGACGTAGAATACCTAGCCTCATGCCAATTGGCATTGATATTGAGAAGCTTAGGGAGGACCAAGAAACGGCCCTCTACAATTTAATAACTCTCCGAAAAGCTGAACTAGGGAAACTACCCGCAAACTTAGGAGTCTGGAATACGGACGAGAGCGATACTCCAAATGGAGACGATTCTCTCAAGCTCAAGGCTTTAATCGAGTACAAAATGCTAAACTTATTACCGAAACAGAGACTTTTCCGCAAGCAGATCCAAACGGAGATGTTCCACTTCGACAACCTGGCCATGTCAGCAAATCGGGCTGGTCATCGTCGTATGAAAAAGCAGTCTCTTCGTGAGGCCAGAGTTACTGAGAAACTTGAGAAGCAACAACGAGATGCGCGCGAATTGAGAGAGAGGACGAAGCAATCCGAGCAACTTCAAGCTATCCTCAATCATGGCCGCGAGGTACAACTTGCAGCTGGCCAGCAACGCGCTCGTGTGCAAAAACTCGGACGTCTCATGCTGAAACACCACCAAGACATGGAGCGGGATGAACAGAAGCGTGTGGAGCGAACGGCCAAACAACGTCTGCAAGCGTTGAAAGCCAACGATGAAGAGACATATATGAAACTGCTTGGTCAAGCCAAAGATTCACGTATTTCTCACCTGCTTAAACAAACCGATGGCTTCCTCCGGCAACTGGCTGCTTCCGTCAAGGAACAACAGAAAAGCACCGCACAAAAATACGGTGAGGAAGATCGATTCGATGATGACGAGTCAGATATTGACGATGATGACGACGAAGAAGTGGAAGAGGGTGGACGGAAAGTTGATTATTATGCTGTTGCTCATCGTATCAAGGAAGAGGTCACAGAGCAACCCAATATCCTTGTGGGAGGTACTCTTAAAGAATACCAGATCAAAGGTCTTCAATGGATGATTTCGCTTTATAACAACAACCTCAATGGTATCTTGGCAGACGAGATGGGTCTCGGCAAGACCATCCAAACCATAAGTTTGATCACCTACCTGATTGAGAAGAAAAAGCAGAACGGTCCTTTTTTGGTTATTGTTCCACTCAGCACACTTACCAATTGGAATATTGAATTTGAGAAGTGGGCGCCATCTGTGAGTCGCATCGTATACAAGGGGCCTCCAACGACACGGAAGCAACAGCAGCAGGCGATCCGATGGGGTAATTTCCAGGTTCTCTTGACGACCTATGAGTATATCATCAAAGATAGACCTGTCCTAAGCAAGGTTAAGTGGGTCCACATGATTGTTGACGAAGGTCATCGCATGAAAAATGCCGGTTCGAAATTGAGCTGTACTTTGACACAATACTATACTACCCGCTATCGCCTAATTTTGACTGGTACCCCGTTGCAAAACAATCTTCCGGAACTTTGGAATCTTCTAAATTTCGTTCTCCCGAACATCTTCAAGTCCGTCAAGTCCTTCGATGAATGGTTCAATACCCCATTTGCCAATACCGGAGGACAAGACCGCATGGATCTGACTGAAGAGGAACAGTTGCTCGTCATCCGGCGACTGCACAAGGTTCTTCGACCGTTCCTCTTGAGACGTCTGAAGAAGGACGTGGAGAAAGACCTTCCGGAGAAAACGGAACGAGTGATCAAGTGCCGATTCTCCGCGTTACAGGCTAAACTGTATAAGCAGCTCGCTACGCATAACAAATTGGTCGTTAGTGATGGGAAAGGTGGCAAGACCGGTGTGCGTGGATTGAGTAACATGCTAATGCAGCTGCGAAAACTCTGTAACCACCCCTTCGTCTTCGAATCAGTCGAGGACGAGATGAACCCGGGAAGAGCCACAAATGACTTAATCTGGCGGACGGCTGGTAAATTCGAACTACTGGACAGGATCTTACCCAAATTCAAGGCGTCAGGACATCGCGTGTTGATGTTCTTCCAAATGACGCAAATTATGAATATTATGGAGGATTTCTTGCGACTTCGCGGCATGAAGTATCTCCGCCTTGACGGTTCAACCAAATCCGACGACCGATCAGATCTATTAAAGGAATTTAACGCCCCTGGTTCAGATTACTTCTGTTTCCTTCTTTCTACCCGTGCAGGTGGTCTTGGTTTAAATCTTCAAACTGCAGATACAGTTATTATCTACGACTCCGATTGGAATCCTCACCAGGATTTACAGGCGCAGGATCGAGCGCATCGTATCGGCCAGAAGAACGAGGTCCGAATTCTCCGACTAATCACGTCCAACTCCGTTGAAGAGAGAATTCTCGAAGCGGCCCAGTTCAAACTGGATATGGATGGGAAAGTTATCCAGGCAGGAAAATTCGACAACAAATCCACAAACGAGGAGCGTGATGCCCTTTTGCGTACTCTACTGGAGAGCGCCGAAACTGCTGACCAAATTGGCGATCAGGATGAGATGGACGATGACGACCTTAACGACATTATGGCCCGATCCGAGGACGAAATCCTCCTATTCCAGAAACTCGACCAGGAGCGCGCCAAAAACGACCTTTATGGCCCTGGGCGTAAATATCCCCGTCTGATGGTTGAGGAGGAACTTCCTGATATATATCTTGCAGAAGATAACCCTGTCCCCGAAGAGGTGGAAGAATATGCAGGGCGGGGCGCACGTGAACGGAAAGTTATGAAATATGATGATGGACTTACAGAGGAGCAATGGCTCATGGCCGTGGATGCGGATGATGATACCATTGAAGATGCAATTGCCAGAAACGAAGCCAAGATGGACCGAAGACGACAAAACAAAGAGAAACGGGCGAGGAAAGCCCAGGGCCTCGATTCATCCCCAGAACCATCGCGGGAGAACTCGGAAGCTCCCCAGCAGCCGAAGAAGCGCCGCAAGGGCCCCGTACCAAAACGAAAGGCGGAGGAAGCTATCGACGAGACCCCCGTCAAACGAAAGAAGGGTCGACTCAGCAAAGCCGCCATGGCTGCAGCAGACACCCTGGCTCCATCCGAGCGCGCCATCCTCCAGAAGATACTCAACAAAGTCTACCAGAGCCTCATGGAACTCGAACAAGAGCTCCCTGCCGATTCGTCAGATAGCGAAGATGGACCTGTGACGCGGTCCATTATCGACCCATTTATGAAACCACCGCCCAAGAGCCATTATCCCGATTACTACATGATCATCCAAACTCCTATTGCGATGGACATGATTCGGAAGAAGATTAACCGGGAGGAGTATCGGAGTGTGAAAGAATTTCGGGAAGATATTCGACTGCTGTGTTCTAATGCACGAACGTATAATGAAGATGGCAGCGTCCTTTTCCAAGATGCTAATGATATTGAGGTAAGTCTGTGCTTGCGATAACACCTCGGTAACGAGGAATGTTTTGTCCTTGTTTTATATACATATTTATTTACTATACATATATGGTTATTTAAACAGCTAGCTAACCTAACCCTCTCTTCTCATTTCAAAATAGGCCCTGTGCGTTTCCGAACTCAAGAAAGAAACCGAAGCTCATCCTGAATTTGCCGATTTTGAAGACTTGCCTTCATCCTCCGCTGCGGTATCTAGCGTCGGGACTCCGCTTGCGTCTGTTGTGTCAACATCAACACCCGGTGGACAGCAGCAGCAGCAACACCAGAAACTGAGACTGACATTCGGCGGCTCCAAAGATGGTAATAACAATAATAATAATAGTGGTGGTGGTGGTGGGCTGTTAACAAATGGGACGAATAGCGGGGTTGTAAGTGATAATGAATAAAGAAGGACAAGATAGGCACGGAAGAAGAATAGAAAAGAGGGGAAGAAAGAGATTTGTGTATGTCAGATGGGAAGGACGAGAGACAACAATGAAATGAAATGAAGTGCTGTTTTCCTACTCCTGGTGTTCTTCTTGTTTTATGGTCTTGTGTCTTCAATATTGGTTGGCTTTTTCCCTTTTTTCTCTCTTTTTCCCCCCCCTTCCTTTTCTCTGTATGTGTGTGAGAGGGTTGGTGTGTGTGCGTGCATGTGTCCTTTGTTTATTATGGTTCAAAAACTGGCGAGGAAAAATCGCGTGGCATATTCATCTTCTACTTTTTTTTTTTTTTCCTGTTTCATTTTTCAGTTCATTTTCATTTCTGTTCATTTCTATTTTTTCATTAGATCTCCAATATTCTTATCGTTAACTACCTATTTAGCTGCCTTGGCTTTTCTCTCACGCTTCTCATTTTTGTCTTCTTTTATATTCTTTGTCTTCTGTTTTTCTTATTTCGTGTCAGACTTCTTGCTTTCTCGCGCTCAGTAGACTAGGCATCTATATATATATGTATGTATATATATATATTTAGTTATAACTAGTTATGGTGGAAGGATTATAGGTCTGACAGTAACACCACTACAAAACCAGTACTCCATCGCTTAGTAACGTGAATAGAAAAATAGATAGAATATTGGGGAAGAGGGGGTGAGAGGGAAAAGATGTGACAGCAAAACCCACATTGATCAAAGAAAGACAATGCGGATCAACAGAGTAGATAGGGCTAAGAAGAATATTTGAGCCAAATTCTATGTAATATCCATCACTGCAACTCACTTCTTCTGTCAAGTTCCCTTGAAATAAAGATAAAATAGAATGAAATGTTCACAAGCATATCAGCTATGATTGATTCAGGCGCATCCTTTCCCTTTGCCAGCAGGCTTGAGCCCTGACTTACCCGCCCTTTTATCTAGTTCACCTCCAAATGGACGACTGACCTTAAGAGCTCGGCGTGAAGTCCCGGCCGGAGGGGGGTTCTTCAAGTTTCCCATTTTGCAACATCAAAGCCACAACAATCATCGCAAAGTCTCCCATGTGTTCTTGTCGGCTGACATCCCAAGGCCCAAATTCGTTCATTCTCATCAATGATTATTCATGGTTCGGCCTGTTGCTCTGATAGTCAACATAGTCGTGGTCATATTCTGATATGGTGATATGCATCTCATGGTGGCTTTGAGATATCATGATGCGCCTGAATCCGTATTCTCATCAGTATGTCTTGACAAGATATTGAGGAAAAGGTTTTGTAACTGATAATGGAGAGTGTCGGAGTTATCTGATTGAGTATATATCCTGGCTGCCATCTCTGTTGTTTCTTGGAATCTCACCGGAGTAAAGTCTGCTCGGACAGATAACTTGAGTTCCAGTATATAACGTTGGCTCTCAACTGGTCATCAACTGACCAGAGACAACCGTCCGTTCGTGTTTCAAAGAGTAGTGCCTTTTTCACAACAGAAACAGGCTTGGATGATTGTTCATCAATTTGAGTTGTCTGTACCTCCTTCTGAACCCTGAAGACTTTTCGACTAATGTTCCATTGGCAGTTGGTGATTTTACAGATGATTCCGAGAGAAGTGAACAAGTCAATAAGATGGGTGTTGACAATTTGCTCATTCTCAATATCAGGGTAGAGAATACTCCGATGTTCTCTTTTAGCATGAGAGAAAGGGGATAGCTGAAGTTCAGCAAATGTTTTACTGACTTGTTCAGGAGTTGAGAGCTCTTCTGTATACACTGGTTTAACCCTCCTATTGTGCGATTAGGACGAGGCACTTCATGCGGGGGAGCAGCTGGGCCCTGAACCAGCTGGTGGTAGTACCATACTATCGACAGAGATGCAAGACCCCTTGGCACTTGAGGGATAGGATAGAGTCCCGGGTACGCGGCCTTGAGATAAGTTTTCCATTCAAACACCTGTGATAAGCGCTAAAAAATTGACAAGAGCGATCCCCCAAGCAGCAGCAGGTTTAAATTCCTCGGCTTCCTTAGACTTCCAAAGGGCCCGGAGAGCAAGAAACTGTTTTCCTTCAATCTCTGAACCAGAATTGAGCTCCGTTGGTCGGAAATCGAAAATATTCCACTGAAGGACGTCTACTGAACTAGCAGCTGCGACCCATTCACTCGGGGTTTCTAGAATGTCTATAGTAGGAGTATCCATGGGTGGGAGGTTTCAGGTGGTCTACTTGGAGTGCCACTAAACCTCGTAAGAATAATTTTTGGGATTACCTAATGTTCAATGTTGTTTCATGAGGGAAGGGAACGGGAGATGATAAAATCAAAGGGCTTGAACCCCACAGCCCCCCCCACAGGGCATGCGCATCTCCCGCTGTAGAAGAGAGGGTAAATGGGGACATCCCGATCAAAAGAGTGGGATAGTGGAATGAGCAAAGGGAGGGTCACGTGAACTACCTTGCCCTACGGAGTACATCTAACTCCATTCTCCAGCGGAAAACAACAATCCAAGCACCAAAGGGGGTGGTTAACCTGCCACTCATCAGCAAAAAAATAATTCTTAAGAAGTTGCCAACTATATGGAATCACAGTACAAGCAAACCGAAATAGCTTCGCGAGGATGGAGGCCCATTATTACCAGGCTGGGCCATTCTGAAACACAACATTGATCATGTCTACTTGACAGATCAAGACCTTGACCTTCTCGGGACCAGGCTCTCCAAGCTTGACTTAGAAGATGACAATGGAGCATGCTTTTTCCAGCCGATATCTACGCACGAGCACCAGAAAATACCAAAACAATATCCGGATTTCAGATGCCGGTTTGACTACACCGATTCCCCATTTCATATTGGGATGCACTTGAAGTCTGTGGTTGAGGATTCTCACCTTTGTGGCAAGGAGATGTTGGTTTCTGAGTATAGCAAGTGGTGTAAAGTGAGATAGGTATTAATTAACTCCTTGTGATAAAAGATCTTTGTTTCTGTAACAAAGCTAACTAACTAATTGCTCCACTTACAATGGGCTACAGCCCGAATCAACGTATACTTGAAACTGCCCAGTACGAGTTTCAAAATCCCAGGTTCCACAGTCTTTATGAGTGGAGATTGCTACGATCGTTTGGTCTAAAGCCAGAAGTCCGGAAAAGATCGCGTAATTGTCCACATCAATTTGTGGTGACTTCCCACGGATTGCAGGCAACAAAAGACACTGAAGGCAAGCTCACATGCAGTGAAGCTCTCCCACTTGTCAATCTCATCCAGGCTCAGTTACTGCACACATCCTTGAGACATAATAATACGATTTTCCCAGTATGTTTTGGTATTCCTCTCTAACATCCATTAATCTGAGTATGACTTGATGTAAAATCTCATTTGAACACCATATAAGATGTCTCAAGCTTGCTGCACTAGTTCTGAGCTAATAATCGCAGGTTCTCATGGCGTCATTCATGGGTGCCAGATTACGCTTCATTGAAGCTTATTCTGATGGCAGTGAGCATCCGTACATCCGTATGGGCAGGTTGATTGATTACTTCAAGTTCAACCATGGACTTGATGCTTCGCTGGTTTTTGAACAGCTCTGTTGGAAAGACAATGGACTCTCCAAACATCAGCCATTGTCAACGCGAGGGGCTGTGCATACCTAGAGATGGTAATGCCAGGATCTGGAATGATTGGTGTGGCACTGGTGACTTCATTTGGTGGATAGAAATTGATTCTATCCAAATATCCTTTTTCCTTTTCTTTTCTAATTTTAATAATCTGTTCCCGGGGATGGAATTGCGTCTCTGTCATCCGTGAAAGGGAAGGCTGGGAAAGTATCAACCCCGGCTGCTCGAAGCAAGAGATATTATATCAAATTCTTTTTTAACAAGTTTATTGTATTTTGTTAGTCTGGAATGTCATTCACAGGTTAAAAGGGTGATGCTCCGGGTGAACAGCGGGACCGGTAGGCATTGTCTAAACCATTAGATTGATGGTTATTTAGCAATGGGGACTCAGCTATTTTCATACTAAACAAACCACCATCCAGTCCATTTGGGTGCTTACATAGAACCGAAGCCCAGAAAACCCAGCCAACTCATTATCAATACCACGCAAAACCTCAGACCGAAAGTAGTGTCATGCTTTTCATGTCAAGAGTGGTGGAGCATCCACTAGGTATAATCGATGATGATGAACGGTCACGGGAGGGTGTTAAATCAAAAAATAGAGCAGACGGGCCTCAGGATCGAGACAAGAAAGTTGGGTGTCTCCCCAGGCGGCTGATAGCTCTAGAGTGAGTATGTGTATAAGGGCTGACTGTCAGAGCTCTGGGACTTGGATCTAGTGATATCACTGATATGTAACAAGTTTTTACATATAGTGTCGTCTGAGCATATTAAAATGTTTCTCAATTGTGTCTCGGACGGCCCGGGACGTATTGAGAAATCAAATCTTTTGCATATTCATTTCTTTTTGCCTTGCTACTATGTTAGATGTATTCCAATTTCCATGGCAATCCGCGAAATCTCATCGAGCCCTTGCGGTGGTGGTGCACTTAAGCTCACCTCTTCTCCCTTGTCAAGTTAGAAGCGAGAGGACGGATTGTGAGAATGACAGAAATGGTTTTCTAAAAGGGTTTTCTTTCTTTCTTTTCTTTTTTCTTTGTTTTTTTCCTTTTTTCTTTTTTTTTTTTTTTTTCCTTTTTTCCTTTTTTCTTTCTTTCTTTTCTTTTCTTTTCTTTTATTTTTTTTGCTGTTACAGAAGTAGAAATTCATATAAAGCAGTGAGCGCCTTGGCAAAGGAGATGCATGTATATTCAGAAAAGGAACAGTGTAAGAGACAAGTACAACTAACGAAGATAAATATGGAAAGAAAACATTATGCCCTGGGCCGCATCAGAAGGACGAGAACTTCTGGTCAAAACACTAAAACCTAATGTTCTTCAATTTTCTAGGAACTATTATAGGGTGCAATCATCCCACGTCACGGTCTTCCCTTCAGCAGTAGCCTGCAACGGTCTGCTACACTCTGAAAAAGCATCTTTAACAGCATCAAAAGCAGTTATATCAGTTATATCTCTCAGAGAGGTATCAGAGCCAGCTTTAAGAAGCAGCTGAATAACTTCAGAGTACCCATAATCAGCGTAGTCTCGACTCCGAGACAGTCCCTGGTAATTTGGATCAAACCAGCATGAAGCAATATCACAACCAATTCCTTCACCAGCTGTCGGTCAGCGAAGACAACTGCTCGCTTGATAGCGGCAGAACAGTTTGCTTTAAAGGAAGGGGCACTGAGACACGTTTGAATGAGTCTGTGTGTGTTAGATTCTCCAATCGCAAACCCAGATTGCGGGCGTATTGCTTGCGAAAACATTATTGCAAGAACACTGCCAAAATAGCCAAAATATCCATGTTTCTCTAGAATCAATCATTCGAATAACATTTATATCATTCTATTATCACCAAATACACATCTTTCTTACCTTGATCATCAAATCCAAACCCCCACTAGAGACAATTGCTGCTTTTCAGTAACATTTTGCACACTGGGCTTAGAGACCTACACTGCATAGTGATCTTGAGCACTTGTACTGTACAATCAAATCAATTTAGTACAAGACGCCGTGTGTCTTCATCTTGTTCGTTTCCAGAGGTATTCTCCCCTGCTAAATTGATACGGGAGTTGGGCGGCGGTGAGGATATAGAACGAACTTCAGTATGACATCAACAGATGAATAAATACACGTAACCGGGCCAAGCGCCCTCACTACCTCCCATCACTTACTAGGCTATTCCATATTTAAAGCAGCGGGGATGTCTTTATCAAAGTTGGGTGTGACTGCGGAATTCCCCACCATGCCGCTAGGACAGTTTTCATTGACGAGAAAGGTAGGCCGCCGTAAGAAGATACCACCTGTAAGATCGATAGCTGCATATTAATAGAAATGTAATCTCCTGTAACGTGTTTAATTCATCTGGAATGGCTCTAGTCTGCGCAGGCTTGGAAGTTCAGAGGCTAACAGATGCACGAATGTAGAGGTGTACTATGTGGAGAGATCGTAAAAGCTCACTGGATGGCCTACAAACGCGGAGGAAAAGGTGGAGGTGGGATAGCCATATATCGTCTATATAACTGTATGCTCCAAAATGGAATGAAGTTTCCGTGTCATGACAGCGAGGCAGGCCGACGACCACTTTCTTTGGCTTGGCCTTGGTCACAAATGAGCGGGGGAGGCTGGATAAATAGGAGCTTGGAGCAAAAGGCTTAAAAGCCAGAAACTGAGATCAGGGGATGCAATGGGAAAATGTGGAGATCAAAGGCAAAAAACCGAAAAAAGAAAAGAGCAAAAAAAGAGGGAAAAAAATTAAAGGAACTATGATATAATCACACAAATTAAATGGAGAGGTATTAATAGAATAAAAAGACAAGAAAAAATGTTGCAAAGGCTGAGCGCACCGAAGCGGTGTAGATTTTATATGAGCTTTTATACAAGATCTCTCCTCACAAACTCTGCAAGAAGCGTCTTACCCAACGCAGCCGGACTACGCTCCACAATCACGCCGGCAGCCTCAAGTGCAGATATCTTGGAGTCCGCGCCACCTTTGCCCCCACTTACGATGGCACCAGCATGTCCCATCCGTCGTCCAGGGGGCGCACTGATGCCAGCAATAAAACCAACAGCAGGCTTATTCCCTACATTCTCTTGCTTGAAGAACTCTGCCGCCTCTTCTTCGGCGCTGCCTCCGATCTCGCCGATCATGATGATACCGTCCGTTTCATCGTCCTTGAGGAAGACTTTGAGGCAGTCGATGAAGTTAGTGCCGGAGAAGGGATCACCGCCGATTCCAACGACGAGGGACTGGCCGAGACCCGCTTGCGTGGTCTGGTTGACGGCTTCGTAGGTCAGAGTGCCGGAGCGGGAGACGATACCGATGCGTCCGCGTTTGTGGATGAAGCCTGGCATGATGCCGATTTTGCATTGGCCCTAAGTTGCCATGTTAGCGAATATAAGGATTTTTGGTATTTTCATTTTAACCCTATATTTGAACTAGTTAGATGAAAAGGGTGGAGTTCACATACTGGGGCGATTATGCCAGGGCAATTCGGACCAACCAATCTGGTCTTGTTTTGCGTTTTTAGGATATCGGTGATGCGGACCATGTCTGTAGTAACGGCACTTAGAGATTTCCCACAACCAAAAATGAGTTATCTGGATACATACCATGCTGTGGAATACCCTCTGTGATGCTAAGAGATTTGTTTGTTAGGTACTTTTATTATATCATATATCACCCGTGGGGTGCGGTATGGGGGACGAACCAGACAACGAGAGGAACTTCGGATTCAATTGCTTCTTCGATACTTTTTGCAGCTACTGGGGGACTAAAAACGAAAGGTTAGCCATCCGAATTTCAATAAGACATAGCATAGTAGAGGAATTCGGCCAAAATGAGCAGGGATGGGTTAGGGCGGATTGCATACGGGACAAAGATGGCGGATGCAGTTGCGCCAGTTTCCTTCACAGCATCCCTCACCGTGGCGAACACTGGCTTTCCAAGATGCGTCTCTCCGGCCTTTTTGGGATTTGTTCCGCCAACGATATTGGTTCCTAGGAAATATCAGACCGGGATGCTCTAGCCATAACTTATAATGGTTGGGATGCTTGGGTACGGTACCATATTCAATGGCTTGTTGGGCGTGGAATCTATCAACAGGGTAACATTAGTTCACACTCTATGACGGGAAACCGAGTCAATTGTACTCACGTTCCCTGCTTTCCAGTAAATCCTTGGTAGATGACTTTCGTATCGCTATTGATCCGTAGGTTGTCGACTGTGGAAGCATAGCCGGCAGTTGAGGTGATAAGACTACGGCGCTGGCAAAGCACAGTATTCCGCAGCGCAGAAGCGGTTCCACGTCTGAAAACCTGCATAGCGTAGCAATGAAGAACAGAAAAGGAAAAGAGAGAAAGAAGAAAGGGAGTGATAAGGACAAGTTGGGCTGCTGGAGAGGCTGTTAACTATTTATGTTGCTGTGACCCGACGATGTTTTTGATTCTCTCCGGCTTGGACCTTGCTCCACGCTAGTGGGTGCAAGATGCGAGGACAGCAAAAACTAAATATGGACTACGCATTTTTGCCCGCATTTTTTGTTTAAATGAGTGACTTCATTTTTTTTGCTTTCTTTATTTACCTCCACCACAACAACCGGATCATAGTTGAGACGCCAGTATTTGGATCTCCTGACATTATAGCAACTGCAGAACCCGGAAAAGAAATACTGCTTCTGATTTAATCACTCTCCACCGCATATCGCCATTATGGCGACAGAGACCATGACTGCGCTGCCGGCCAAGCAGCTGCACAAACCCCAGAAGACGGCAAAGCTGCCCCCCGAAAACGAACGATATATGAGAGCGTGTTCTGACATTGCAAACGCGCTTATCCAAGAATATGAATCCCAGCGAGACTCCACGAAACCCAAGAAGGATGTCAACCTGAATAAGCTGCGGGGTCAGATATCGAAGAAGCATCGACTGAGTACCCAGCCTCCACTGACAGCCATTATCTCTGCTGTCCCAGAGCATTATAAGAAATACATTCTCCCAAAGTTGATTGCCAAACCGATAAGTATGTGTGATTGGGATAATGTCACTCTATTGCCTTCACACATGCGCTAATAGAAATTGCCTAGGAACATCGTCCGGAATCGCCGTCGTGGCCGTAATGTGCAAGCCACATCGATGTCCTCATATCGCCTATACCGGAAACATCTGCGTCTACTGCCCTGGTGGCCCTGACTCCGATTTTGAATATTCTACGCAATCCTATACCGGATATGAACCAACGTCTATGCGTGCTATTAGAGCTCGATATGACCCCTTCGAGCAAGCGCGGGGTAGAGTCGAACAAATCAAATCACTAGGACACAGTGTGGATAAAGTGGAATACATCATCATGGGGGGGACTTTTATGTCGCTTCCGGAGGATTATAGGGATGGGTTTATATCACAACTACACAATGCGCTTAGCGGCTACCAGACCAAAAATGTAGACGAGGCCGTCCAGGCTGGGGAAATGAGTAATATAAAATGTGTCGGAATCACCATCGAGACACGGCCAGACTACTGTCTCGATACGCACCTGAGTAGCATGCTCCGATATGGCTGCACACGGCTCGAGATCGGCGTACAGAGTCTTTACGAAGACGTCGCCCGTGACACCAACAGAGGCCACACCGTGAAAGCCGTAGCCGAAACATTCAGGCTTTCTAAAGATGCCGGCTTCAAGGTCGTTAGCCACATGATGCCTGACCTCCCTAATGTCGGCATGGAGCGCGACCTCGACCAGTTCCGCGAATACTTCGAGAACCCAGATTTCCGAACTGACGGGTTGAAGATCTATCCCACACTCGTAATCCGCGGTACAGGTTTGTACGAACTCTGGCGCACAGGCCGCTACAAGAACTATACACCAAACGCGCTCATCGACATCGTTGCCCGTATCCTAGCCCTCGTCCCGCCCTGGACCAGAATCTACCGCGTTCAGCGTGACATTCCCATGCCCCTCGTCACCGCGGGCGTGGAAAACGGCAATCTGCGCGAACTCGCGCTGAGCCGCATGAAAGATTTTGGAACAACATGTCGCGACGTGCGCACGCGCGAGGTGGGCATCAACGAGGTGAAGAACAAAATCCGCCCGTCGCAGGTTGAGCTTGTGCGGCGCGATTACACGGCTAATGGCGGGTGGGAAACGTTCTTGGCATACGAGGACCCCAAGCAGGATATCCTCATTGGCCTTTTGCGGCTGCGCAAGTGTAGTAAGACGCATACCTTCCGGCCGGAGCTAACGGGCCAGCAGACCAGCCTTGTGCGTGAGTTGCATGTGTATGGTTCCGCAGTGCCGCTTCATGGTCGGGACCCACGCAAGTTCCAGCATAGGGGGTTCGGCACGCTGTTGATGGAGGAGGCGGAAAAGATTGCTAGGGAGGAGCATGGGAGTAGGAAGATTAGTGTTATTTCCGGTGTTGGTGTTCGGAGTTATTATGCCAGACTTGGATATTGGCTTGATGGGCCGTATATGAGCAAGATGCTGGATCCAGTGAAGCGGGATGGTTTCGACGAGGAGTGCTAAAATGGAGGGATGAAAAAAAAAGGGGAAAAAAAAAAACGAAGACTACCGGTTTGCAATGTTCAAGAGTCGTTGTTTTTCTCTTATCTACCCTCCTCGTATGTATTCGAGTTTCTTTGCACCTTAACATTTCAGGACATTTCATGACGGCGTTTTCCCTAGTCTGAAGGCTCCTTAGCAACGGTTGGTACTGGTTATCGAATTGGCGTTTAAGGAAATTAAAAGGGACAGTGATGCAGCTTACGCCTTCTTCCTATAAACTTGGATTCATTCTATTGCATCTCATTATTCTCATAAGGTATACATGCTAGGGCAGTGGACGATGAATGGGCCAACATATCAAAGGACACGTTTATCCCCTTTCAGCAGCTGGCCAAGCAAACCTGGAAACAATCCGCAATAAATAAACAACAGTATATGTGATATGAGAAAAGTCTGAGTGCCACTGATAGATACAGATGCAAATTCCCAAATGAAGAGTATTTCTATTCTGAAATCGGACAGTGAGACCAGAGTGGTGAGGAGTCGCGAAGGGAGCAATTAAATAGCCACAAAACCGACTTTGAAGTTCTATTGCAAGTACACATTTACTCCATGATGATTAATACACCAAAAATCAAGCAACAGTAAAGATTTACAACATACACAAAACGCCGTTCACAATGGAAAATAAGAAAACAAGGCCCACATGGATAGAAGCGGAGATACGGTGATAGGGTTAGTTGATCGGACATATATAACGTGGGTGCCCGGTAGCCAGAGGCCATAGACCGTAGACACTACCCTGCTTCCGGGATTCTTTCCGCGTTCAGAGCGTAGTCATTCTAGATGTCACGATATGTCATTCAGTAGTTCTCCTATATTCCCGTTTTTGGTGCGTTAACAGATGAGTAGCATGGCACGGCGAGGGTGACAGCTGCTCAGAAAGTAGAACCGATAGGCTTAGATTTCAGTAGGGGATATTCGACAACCGTGCGTACTCCGATGGCACAGTTATCACCAATAAATCCCCCGAAGCCCTATCTATACCCATCGCCCATCCCGGCCAATCAGGCAATATATTATGTCCAAATAATCGAAGGCAACAAGGAAAAGGAAAAAGCCACCCCCAGCAAAATCTATCTCGATCTTCGACGCCGTTACTTTATAGAGAGTAGATGCTGTTTATTAGGTGTAAATTAATGTAAATAACGAAAGGCGCATTTACCTAGTTCAACGAAATTGCCCCTCTTCGACTCGATCGGACGTGTAGGAACGCTTGTATGCCGCAAAATACGATGAAGAACTAAGTAAAAAAAGAGAGTAAATCGGAGTTAATAAATAGGGTAGTGCTACGAAATTGGTGCGCTAGGTATGATTTCCGCGCAAAAGGGCTCGCTGGAAGGAAATGTGGATTACATACTGCGTACACAACAACAGCTGTGAATATCGACGCTGCAACAGCAGTCCCGTCCTCGGGGTCTTTCGTGGAACCAGTTATGGAATGGTGATTGCTCTGTAAACAGGTTGATCGGTTATTCGTCAGTTATATTCCAAAAACCTCTGAGCTTTGCTGTCATCATGGGCAGGATGCTTCAAGGCGGCTGTGTAGAAAGAGTAGCGAGCCTTTGATGTTAAGGCTTCTCCGCCTACACGTTCTGATAGCGTTTAAGTTTCAATATTTGACGTACTTTGAAGAGAGACCCGAGGACTGATAGGATGATGACAGCGAAGATGGAAATGATAAAGCTGTGACGAGAAGTCTCTTGTCAGCCGTGGCTATTCAAGGTCGATATGGGCTTCCTCATCGAGTATGTAGCTAAACTCTTACCAGCTCCAGGCGTTTAACGCCGATACGACGGGCTTCATGCTTCGTAGGGAGATAGATAGATTGGGGGCTCGGGGAGGGGGGGATGGTAGGCAGACAGCAGGCGCGTGGCAAGCTGCTTTTGGAGCTTGTTTGAGGGGCTGCGGCGAGGAGATGAGGGAATCAGGTCCAATAGAGTAACTAGCAGAGGTTTGGTAAAGCGGGAGAGGATAAATGTGAGGTTATCGGGACGGGATCGGATGATGTTGTTGCTGGTGCTTGAAAGTTGATTGTTGCGGGTTGTTGGAAGTTATAGACTGATCCGGGGGTTGGGGCTGGATCGACATCAAGTCCCACTAATTTACTGTTCGGTCAATGAGTCCATGAGATTACAATTATATCTTCCCGTCCGGATGATTATTAAGGCATGGATGTATTAGTTATAATAAGAAATATGTTAATTACAGTATTATGCCTCACTCATTTCAAGGATTCATATTGTCTGAAAGGTTCAACTTCAGATGTATGAAGAGTATGAGAGGAATTTATTTTACAAATGATATTTGAGAACCTGCACTATGAGTGTAGAGACTAATGAAGAATAAGAAACAGTTAATTGATCAAGAACCTGGCTATAAATAATACTAAGCGAGTATTTATATCTCTGCCACATTGTTTCATCAGATGACAAGTAGAGAGAGTCTCATTCAATAGAGAAAGAATTTTGAAATATTCAGATGAATCTTTCAATAGTATATCAACAAAATATAATGTCTGAGACTGCCAACATTACAACATAAATAAGAAAGTCTTCAATGATGATGACAGACATTGATCTGGCTCAATGATTCAGGGCTTCTTTCTCTAGAATATTCAAGTTCTACTCTCTTACCAGCGTACCATCTCTTCATCTGTATCAGAGCTTTCAAAATCTCTTATGAATAGTATTCTTCCTTTGCACCGGATTTGATGAGGAAATCCACAATATGAGGTATCCATCTCCGCCCCATGCTTGATAAGCTGCTCAACCACTTATTTTATGTTCAACCTATCACAGGCAGCAGCAGCAAGAGCGCTGTTGAACATACATCCCTACCCCGATTCCCATATTCACATCCCCCCCAGCATCCAGAAGTAGTTGTACAATTTCTTTGCGACCTGCGAATGCCGCCGCCGCAAGAAGAGTGTCCCACCCTCTTCTTGAACGGATTCATAGCTGCCCCCGACTTGATCAGAAAATCCACCATGTGAATACAGCTCACTAACTTGACACTGCTGTCATGGAAGTATATCGTATTAATTGAATCTGGACTTGCGTATTATCATGCTTCGGAGGTTAATCCCAGTTGGCGAGTAACTACATTGGAAATTCACATCTGCTCCCATACTGAGGAGATGCATGCAAATAGGGATTGACCCAGATGACGCAGCAAGGTACAGCATGTAATGTTGGTGATTACTACACCTACCCTAGTCACGTGCCACCCCAACCTATCCATTTAGTGTAACTCGCGTAGATAGATTACACACACACAACACAACAATGTTATTCTTCAAGAGGTTATGAAGCCCTTCACAAGCAACAAATAACTGCAACAACATGCTAAATTGACATCTCCACACATTATTACAAGCATGCCTAGATGATTTATTGAGTGATTGAACTCATGATTAATCTAAGATTCAGAGAGATACCTGACTTAATAAAAGAATACATGTCTTCAAGACAGAGAAATGAGAAAATATCAGAGTAGTAAACACAAGATCACAGATCACTGTTAATATTAATAATGAATCAGAAGACAGCTTCTGAAGCATTTAAGTTAAATGATATAATTATAAAAGAATGATTTGATAAGTTTAATATATATAAAGACTTAGTTAAAGATATTAGTGAGATATCAGATAATATAGAGAGCTTAAGTAACTGAAACAATAATAGCTCAGTAAGTAAGAAGACTTATATAAGACTAGAAATTACAAGACTTCAGTATAAGATTGAGTGAATGAAGATCAGTAGAAATGATTCTATAGATAATGAGATAGAAGTAGATCTGACAGAATATCTTTAATAGAAAGAGAAGATATCTGTTATAATAAAAGTTCTTAAAGAATTCAGAAGTTAAATAAGACTTATTAAAAGATTAATAGTTCTCACTAAATTTATTAATTACTTAATATAAAGAGAGAAAATTCTTTTAACTGTAGAGTAGTCTGAAATCAATAATATTCTTAAAGATAATAATCTTAATAAGAATATCACTATAAATATATAACATTTCTGAAAAGAATATAATCTTTAATTATATAATTATATATAATCTATAATTACTCTGCAGATCAAGACTCATTTCACTATACTTAAGAAGTTCAAATTATCAGCTTATACTCTATAAATTATTATAGAGAATAACTTTTTCAAGAGATCTACTATACATAGAACTCATTTATTTAAAGAGCTTATTAAAATAATCTTTAAAAGTAAAGAATTTAATAGAGCTTTCATTGAATATTTAATTATTATAAGAACTGATTATATCTGTCTAGAATATAAGATTCTAAATATCATGTTTTTTAACAGACTGCTTATAGAAGTTAACAGAGATTAAGTCTTATTTATAAGAAATTGAATAAATCAAATTGATAAAGATAATACTTAACTCTTAGAGAATGATTTTATAAGTCTGTACTATAATATTCTTTTACAGCTCTCTACTGTAAATAAAGCAAATACTGATATATCTAGAAATTCTATCAATAACATGCAAGATAAGAATAAGAAAGACAAGAATAAAGAGAAAGATAATAATAAGAATAAGAATACTGAATTCAAACCTGAATATAGAAATAATGATATAAGAATCTACTATTACTATTAAAAGATTAATTATATTCAGACTGACTGTTAAAAGAAATACTCTGAGAAATATTCTTTAAATTTGAATTTCAACATCAATAGAAATAAGAATAAAGATAAGAATACAGAGAATACAGATACTGCTTCTGTTTATAATATTATAAAGCAAGTATTTTACATTAAAGAAAAGGCCTATATAAGTGATCAGACAGAAAAAAATACCTGAATTTTAAACTCTGAATCAGGTATTTATATCATATCTCACAGAGATCTTATTATAACAAAACCTTAGAAGATGAAAGTAATGTTGAAAATAATAGATAGAACAGTGATCTCTGCTATAGCTATAGAAAATACAAAGATTTCAGTGAAAGAAGCAGATATGCTGTTAAATAATATTTACTATATTCTGAAGTTAGAAGTGAATCTCATGAGTATAAATAAGCTTATACATCAGAATTATATCTATAAGCAGTTAATATATAAGAATAATTATACTATATTAATTATGTCTTCTGATCACATGTTCTTATTTACAGCAAGATTAAATAAGAATAATATCTATAAGATAAAAAGACTAGTTATATACAGAGACTTAATCTAGTTTACTATACTCAATGATGATTTTAAATCTATAAACATATTACAGATGAAAGATGACATAATATTAATACTATCTGAAAGAAATAATATAAAGATTATAGAACTTATAATAATATAACAATATTAAAAGTTAGAATATCTAAATTCTGCAGATATTGTAAAAATAATAGCAGATTCATATCTAGAAATGAGAATTATTGATTAATAAGCTTTATCATTCTGCAAAGTCTGTGTTTAGATAAAAATAATATATTCAATCTTTATATCTATAATATAAGCTATTAAACTAATAATGAGATTCTTCATTGATCTGATAGAGAATGAAAAAACACTTTTCAACAGAAATAACACTCTCACTAGAGAGAGTGTAAGCTACTGATTAAGTATAATAGATAATATAATCTGTTATAGATGAGTAATTCTTATAATAAGAAAGAGAGAATCTACTGCAAGATTAATAAACTTTATTATAAATATTAAGATAACTATATAATGTTGAGTTGAAACTCTATACTGAAATGATGAAGAAGAGTTTAAAAGTCAAGAACT